CAGGAAGAATTAGTCAAAGCTTTAAATTAGCTTTAAATATATTCTTTTTAGGAGATAATTTGATATATAGCTACTATATGGCCTGCTACATAGCTTTTAAATAGCCAGATATATTAGTACTACATAGCCTGTGGCTACTCGCTTACTACACAGCTATTATACAACATGCTACTACGTAACCTATTATAAAGCTACTATATTGTCTGTAGAAATGTATATATATATATATATATATATATATATATATATATATATATATATATATATATATATATATATATATATATATATATATATATATATATATATATATATATATATATATATATATATATATATAGGCTTGGTCGGGAAGCGGGAGCGATCACTCTCGATTGCTGACCACGGAAATAATATTTAGTTGCAAAAAGCTGGCCAGATTTTTTAGTCGTTTTGAGAACATTTCAAAATGCAAAAAAAAAATGCGCAAAAGATTAATTGGACCGATGAGAAACAATTACAAAAAAAAGTTAGGAAAATAAAATATCTTTTAAAGTGAAAAAACTTGAACCAAAAGAACTTACGTTTAGAGCAAATATTTTCGAAACATCGCTCTTTTATAATTTTTTTATAAAATTAAACGACAGTTTTTATATAAAGTAACAATAATTGTTTAAAAAGGAAACAAATGTTCTTTATTTAACAAAGTTTGCAAGTTTTAGTTTTGTCTAAATTATTTTATAAATAAAAAAGTATTAATTTTTTTAATACCTATTTTATGTTTCGCATAGTTTGAAAAGTTTAACATATTTGAAACAAGTAAGTATTTGTAAGATATACAAATGAAATAATTAAATCATTGAATTACTATAGAAATTAAATTAACTAGATAAAAATCAACTAAAAAGGTTAAAAATAATGTATGAAGAGGAAGCGAAACTACTTCACAATATCGCTGATGATGTTTAGAGAGTGGGCTTTTTAATTTTAATTAGTATTTAAAGCAGAAAAAAGTATAACAAGTTTTTAAGAATGGCAACTTAAGCGAAAAAGTTAGTAAACCAATATCTAGAAACTTTTCTTTATATTTAATAACTTGCTATATATATTTGTGTTCTGTCGTGACCTCAGACGTGGTGCTTGTTCATCCGCGAGTTACTTTGTATGCATCATTTGTGTTTAGTAACCAGAAACTTCTTATATGTTTGTTACATAATTAGTTTTATTAACTTTAATGATTATTAATAACTTCATTGAGAACGCAATTATTTTTGTAAGTCTTTGTTTACAAATTAAATCATAAAAATTGCTTTAAAAGATTACATTACAATGAAAAACAGATACACAAAATTACATTTGCGAAAAAAATATATACTATTAAATAAAAAATAAGAATATACTAATAAAATCTATAATTTATAAAAAACTTTCAAAATTTTGACAATTTAAATAATATATATTGTAAAACATTTATTTTTGTAAACAAATAATAATAGTTTAAAAGATTTACGGCTCCGATGTAGTGTAGTCCTATTATATTGCAATATTGACTAGCATGACGTAGAGTGCAGGCGGTGAGATCTGTTGCAAGGACACGCCCCTGACGAGTGGCGTTAGTGCAGGTCTCGGGCTCTCCGAAACGTCATTGGTGATCGCAGTGCATTCCTGAGGAGGGGGATCACCATTTATCCACTACTTAATTCTAATTGGTTATTATGGCACCAACATTTTTTTACCTCTTAAACCCATGTATTTTTGCGCTTTATGAGCTTTTTATTATGAATTTGGTACATTTACGACATTTATATATTTTTTATGTTACACAGGTGATTATCAGTTATCAATTTTTTATCTAGAGTTTAGAACATATATAGTACCACATTTATTAGACACTTGTATGGTGCGATTATTTTAGTTATGAATACCATTATAAACCAGCGGATTTTTATTGACTTGTTTACTCATAGATCATTATTTCATCATTTATTAAAAGATGACTAGAGTGTGAGTGTAGTATTTGTTATACTTTTTTCTGCTTTAAATACTAATTAAAATTAAAAAGCCCACTCTCTAAACATCATCAGCGATATTGTGAAGTAGTTTCGCTTCCTCTTCATACATTATTTTTAACCTTTTTAGTTGATTTTTATCTAGTTAATTTAATTTCTATAGTAATTCAATGATTTAATTATTTCATTTGTATATCTTACAAATACTTACTTGTTTCAAATATGTTAAACTTTTCAAACTATGCGAAACATAAAATAGGTATTAAAAAAATTAATACTTTTTTATTTATAAAATAATTTAGACAAAACTAAAACTTGCAAAGATTATGATGTTAAAAGATTTTAAACTTTGCAGAATGAATTCGAGAATGAGCAATAATGATAATATATTCTTAAAAACAATTAGAAATATCATAACGTAACATGTAATCGTGAATACAATTAATAACCGAATAGTCTAGAACTTTATTTCGCTTAGTCAGTGTATTTAGTTTGTTCGTTAATTTGGCGGGTTTTTAGTGTTCCAAGATGTTTTGAAAATGTTCAAGTTTTTTATGTTTCCATGTATGTCCATAGTATGTAAAAAGTTTTTTGTTTCGTACATAAACTTAAATGTTCTCAAAACGACTAAAAAAACTGAATATAATTTCCCTGGTCAGTATTCGATAGCGATCACTCCCGCTTCCTGACCAAGCCTTTATATATATATATATATATATATATATATATATATATATATATATATATATATATATATATATATATATATATCAGGCTTAGACAGGAATGGCGTGCGATCGAGCGCTATTGCTGACAATGCAAATGATTTTTTTATTGACAACTTGACCATGATTGCTTATATGTTTTGATGATTTAAACATTTCAAAAATGTGCTGAATGTAGAAACGCTAAGCTAAACTTAAACTAGGAGAAAAGTTTAAAAAAAAACTAACGAAAAAAAAATTCCTAACTAAAAAACAAACAAAAAAAAAATTCATAACTAAAAAACAAACAAAAAAAAAATTATATAAGCACTAAAATAAAAATATAAACTTGAAGCGAAACTTTTTGTTACGTTTTTAATTATGTTTGAATCTTTTGAAACGTTTTATTAAAGTTGCGCAAAATGCTTTTAAATTAAGTAAAAAATTAATACTATTAATTGTTTAACAAATGAGCAAATTTTATAAAATTTATTAAAAAGTGTTGTATTTAATATAAAAGGTTTCCAACTCTTTTATTCCTAAAAATAGGAAAAAATAATAAAAATTTATGCTGTTGAGATAAAGCACCAGGCAATATCTATGACAGCCGGTATAAATTAATTAATGAACAAGATAGTTCAGTCACTTAATAATAATAACGTTAATAATAAGCTTTCTTGGTTTTTATCTTGTTTGTTATTGCTTCTAAGTCAACCGATTGCAAGTTTAATTTGAAGCTTTTAACTGTAGTAGATTGAACATCTTCGGCTGGTAGACTATTCCATCCATCAACGACCCTATTGCTGAAAAAATATTGCCTTTTCAAACAAAATCTGACCAATTCAGGTTTCATTCGATGTATTACTCCTCTAATGTTAGCGGCAGGTCCTGATAAGCAAATAGAATTCATTGTTTGATTTTGTTTAATATCAATGATTTCAATACCTTTAAATATTTTGAATTGCTGGACCAAGTCGAGCCTTCTAGTCTCCAAAGTAGTTAAACCCAAAATTTCCAATCTTTTTTCGTACTCAAGATGTCTTAGCTCCAGTATCATTTTGGTAGCTTTTTGTTGGACTTTTTCTTGTTCATTAATATCTTTTGTATAATACGAACTCAATAATTGAATTGAAAACTCTAAATTTAGTCTAACATATAAACAATACAGTGTTTTTATTAGATCTTTATCCTTGTACTTGAATGTATTATTTAGTAGTGAGAGCATACTATTTACTAGCTGCATATTTTACTTGTTTGGCCCATTTTAAATCACTTGATGTATAAACACCAATGTCTTTTTCTAGTTTTGATTTTTTAATTTCCATTAATGTATTGTTATTGTTTATAAAATACAAATATTCTTTATTATTTAAACTAAAGTGCATAGTTTTACTTTTTTCAAAATTTAATCCTAATTTCCATTTTGTTGACCATTCGTCAAGTTTATTTATATCATTTTGAAGCAATTGTGAATCATTTTGAGAAGAAATAGGCGCAATTATCTTATTATCATCAGCATGTAAATGGCATTCATTAATAAAATTTTCTGGTAAATCATTTATAAATACCAGAAAAAGGAGAGGATCTAGAACAGACCCTTGTGGTACACCACTAAGTACATCAACCCAATCTGTCACACTTTCACCTAAAACCACTCTTTTTTTTCGCGGTTTGCAAGTTGGCTAGGCCTGCAGTATAGATTGCTGCAGTATATATATATATATATATATATATATATATATATATATATATATATATGTATATATATATATATATATATATATATATATATATATATATATATATATATATATATATATATATATATATACATAAATGTATATATATATATATACATATATACATATATATATATATATATATATATATATATATATATATATATATATATATATACATATATACATATATATATATATATATATATATATATATATATATATATATATATATATATATATATATATATATATATATATATATATATATATATATATATATATGTATGTATATATATATATATATATATATATATATATATATATATATATATATATATATATATATATATATATATATATATATATATATATATATATATGTATGTGTATATATATATATATATATATATATATATATATATATATATGTATGTATATATATACATATATATTTATATATATGTAAACAGTTTAAATTTTTATCTTATATTGTAGTAATAAAAAGTAAAATCAATTTTATAAAAGTTTTTATTCATTTGTTTATTTAATTTTTACTTTTATTGAAGGATTACTTCAACAACTCATCCACATATTGTTGATGTCGATTGGAAACTTGATTATAACATTAAAGTTAGTTCGATTCGTTGTTGTAGTCAATGATTTTATAGAAATAATTTTTGATGTCGTTACACAACATGTGAATAATAAGCTGTGGTAAATCAGCTTTGAAAAGTTTTTTTATTTATTAATTATTATTTGTTTTTTGTTAAAGCAATTCTACTCTAGTATTTTGATTTGCTCATTAGAAACTCTTGACTTGACTTTATATAATGATTTTTGTTAAAGAATATTTATGTATAAATTATAGATAAGTAAAAATAATTAATTATGCTGCAAATCAATAATAATAAATAATTTTTTCTTTTTGACCCTTTTACACTCTTGTTTAAGCAGCTTTAAAGTTCAAAATGGCAGATAAAAAGATATTTCTATGTCTTTAACAGCATCGCAGCTTTTTGTGCCAGCCATTTTTAGTTGATTTTTTTAAATATTATTTGTGTAAATAAGTTATTTACAGAAAACTGCATATAAAAGTTCTATATATTATTCATTTTACAGAGCAATTTGTTAGAAAAGGTAGATAGCTTCAATTACTTAATATCACTTAAGACTCAGGTATGTTTCTTGTTCATTTTATTACTTATTGTTTTATTATAATATTATTATTTGCATAAAAATCAAAACAGTTAGTGTTCATAAAAACATTTAGCTAAATTAAAAGTATAAGGTTTTTTTTTTTTTTGTTTTTTTAATTTATTATTATTACTTCCAGGGATGCCAAAAGGCTTTTTGTCTATATTTTTTTCTGGTCTCCAAAATACGAGAGGTCTGGTGTCCAGCAGCTCTAAACATGTTGGTTGACTTATGAGCTGCTATAAGAAAAAAATCCATGAGATTTCATGACTTGGAACTTATTGTTTTTAAGCCCAGAATTCAATTTTCATTTGACCATTGCGTCTCAGTTTTTTAAATGAACAGATCAAGCAGTCACAGTGAGAGTCTCAAGTTTCTGGTCAAAGTTTTATAGTCTCAAACTTATACAATGATGGAAGTGTGATGTTTTCTCCACTTTCCTTCCTTAAACAAGAGCAGCATTTTTCACAAATTCCTAGTGGAACTTTGTCATCATTAAAGTCGATTTTCTCTTTCAGTATAATCTGACATCTTTCTTTTAGATTTGTTAGCTTTTGTTGACATTTACTAAAATAAAGAAAACAATCAGTTTTTTTGCATTCTTGGTGGTTTTTAGCAGTATTTAGCATTTTTGGTAAAATTGGAAGTGCTAAGTATAGCTTTCATTAGTAAAGTAAAAACGCTTTTTCCACGATGTCAAAAGTAGAAAATTATTCAAAAATAATTTATGTCAAATTAAATACGTTTCATATCAATTTAAACAGTTTTTACAAACTAATCATAGTTTGGGATGCAAACTTAGTTAATAATTAAAATGCAAAAAAGCTATTGTTTCCGATGTTTGTGCAATCAATATATTTTAACTTAAAGAATATATTATTTTGCTTTCCTTGTTTATATTGATGTAAGTTCGAGATTTTTAATACTATAAAAAGCAAAATAAGCTTTCATTTTGCATGTTTGTGCAATCAATAAAAATATTCTATTTAACACAAGACTTTTTTAATATGTCTATAATACAATTTAATACGTATTTTTATGTATATTAAACCTTTAAAACACATTTTGTGTCAACTGGTATGAAAATTCAAATGTAAATAACTTTCCAGGACATTGTAATCTGATTTTAATACTTGTTTCTAAGTGATCCCCATAGTAAGGGCATATCATTCCACCTAAGGGTTTTCCCGGGTCAGAAATTTAAGGTTAGAACCTATTTTTTAACATTATGAAAAAAATCATATACTTTTATGTGAGACAAGCACAAAAATTATATACTTTTGTGTGAGACAAACACTTATAATGTTATTGAAGATAATTGAATTGCTCAAAATTGCCAACATTTTTCATATTAATGAATAAAATTTTTCATTAGAAAACCATCTGCTGATTTTTCTATAACAATAAATATTAATTTTACTTGTTTTTTAAATTTGTGTTTCATAAATTTACATCGCAAACTAAAAAAATATATATTTAAGTTTTATTTGGAAGTATATTGCAAAATGTCCATATATCACAATGACTGAAAGTTGAATTTTCTATATTTGGTATTATATTTTGTTACGAAGATTGCTAACAAACCATTCAAGTGGAATGCTTGAGTTAATTGAACTGATAAATGTTTAGCAGAAATGCTAGAAAACAAGATAAAATATATAAAAACGTGGATTAGTTAGAGTTGAGATGTAGATGGAGTTAATGACGATCAGTCTAGAGAAACTTATCCCAACCACTACAAGTTCGACAATCCTGGTTGTTGGCGATTGATAATACTTGTTTAGTTATACTGTGACAGTTTTTTAATACAATTATATTTTATAATATAGCGAGAGTTTAGTTTAAAGGTTTATATTTGCACAAGTTGCAATGGAGCATTATACACCAAGCAACATTTGAATACAATTCAATAATTGTTTATATATAAACAGTTGTGTAACATATTTTGGAGGCACTGCCCGGATCACTAGTGGATTCTATCTCTGCTTGGGCCGATTATTTTACCTACGTAAATTAAGATTAACTTTGTTTATTTCGTTATTTTACACACAACCGATTACTCGAGTGGGACCATAGCTATATTGACTTTGTTTTGTTTTATGTATGAGCCCTTTATGATTGGGTAAAATATGCCAGTATACAGAATCTAATCATTGTGTCTGTACCGCCAGTAACCCTCATACTTCTCTCAACAACTCCTCCGATTCTACTGACTCCTTAGACCTGTCAGACACCAACCCATTTAAAGCCGAAAACACCCGTTCCCCAACAAGTCCTAAAGTGAAGAACAATATGTCACTTGAGCAAATTCTAGAACGTTTGGCGTTAAAACCGAGCCAAGAACTACATCCAAAAGTTTTCAGGGGTACAGAAGTAGAAGATATTACCGAATGGTTAGCGAGTTTCCGCCGTATTGTGCAGCATAGCCAATGGACTGGCATAAGAAGATTACTTCCGTTCCCCTTATACTTAGAGGGTAGCGCTTTAGTCTACTACAAAACACTTTCAGAGCCTATCAAAAATGACTATAATCAGCTTCAAGAGCAATTCTGGCAACATTATGGGAATGCAAACATTGCATGGAACCGGAAAATCCAACTTTTCAGCTTATCACAAGATACCGATCTCCCCGCCTACACCAACACCCTCGATAAACTCAGTCAGCAGTTAGGCATGGATGATAAAACAAAGTTAACATAATAGAGCTGACATAATTCAATGTGTTGATAGACTAAAAACAGAAATAAACTTGTTAAAGCAAAATCAACGTTATCCCCAGCATGCAAGGTTTTAGCTAACCGGTCGTAACCAACATACCAGCGATGGATAAGTTATAAGTAATTGGTGCTTAAGAGTAGGGCACGCCCAAAGATCGTGCTCCGAACAAGTTTCCCCGTTATCAAGAAAAAGCGAGTGTCAACCTATATCACCGCAACCTAACCACTTGAACCATGATATACAAAACTCGACTTCATTTTGCAATACTTCTTCCCCAAATAGACAATTTCGAAACAATGAACTAAGGAACAGCATTCGGATAGCCGAATTCCCCAGCGACGTACTAACACACTCGAATTGGATCCGGAAGAGGAACCTGGTTCTGAAATCTGGCGTAAAGTATACAAATTTAAAGTGCTTATTCTTATGAACACAGGTCTAGATGCAGTATATTGGACGAAACCATCTTCAAAAATATTAGGAATCAAGTTGCCAAACCACTTCCCTACTATGGTACTCTGAGAACAGCTAATGGAGCGCCACTTTGTGTCCTTGGAAAAACCTTATGCCCTATTGATATTGGAGGTAATATATTTGAGCATAAAATGCTAATTGTTAAAGACTTAACCCATCCAGTGATTTTAGGATATGACTTCATGAGCCAATTTAATGTCAGATTAGACTGTGGGAATTATCGGGTTACATTTGAATGTAAATTTGATATAAATATGATCAGTAAACCTGTAAACAATAAATTTGCCACCGGATTAAATATTAATGATACGCCAATCCGTTGTAAAACGCAAACTAATGAACTTGATGACTAGTGGTTGACTGTTTCTAAAACTTTGTTAAAAGATAATTTGCTTATCAACCAACCCAAGAATGTCAAGTCCAATAGTAAGACACGACGAAAGAATCTAACTCCGATATCGGATACATGAAGCTATGTTTACTATCCCAACCACTGCCAAACGACCACTGTCGATGCCCTATGTTAATGCCCACAATATGTACCACAAAGGAAATGAAAGCAATACCAAAGTGTGAAACTATCCTGACTATAGAACACACCCAAAAAGCTGATGAGAATTATATTCTTATATCAGAAACTAATCTCTTTGAAGAACGAGGTTTCCTTCCCACAATAACCAAAGATACAATTAACCAAGTTAAGCTACATGTTGTAAATTTGTCCCCAAAACTATTAGACATACCTCCTCAACCTGTTTTTAAGCGTCCCATCTGTCAACAAGTTCCAAATAATGACTGTCAAATTGCAGCAGAAAAAGTAGTTCAAACAGAAAATAATTGTCAGAAACAAGTGGCATTTGAAGAAACAGAAACAAGTAAAAATTTTTCAGCAATAATAGTGGTTCCAACAAGGAAACGAAAAAATAGAAGATGACCGAAAAATCGATTGTCACAGCCATTTGTCAATAAATGAAAGATAATGATTCCGACTTTTGTCAATACAAGAAAGATAATGATTTTGGCGAAGTTTTTGATTGTACAAGAGTACAACCAATATGGGTTTATCAACTTCCAACAATCATTTCTTGTTCGCACAATATGCACTCATCAAATGAATCTGTAAGAACATTCACAGCTGACGTATACGCCTACTGACCTCAAACCACAACTCTACTGTTACACGGCTATGCTAAAAAAGTACCCTCAAGTGTCATTCTAATTTCTTTAACCAAAAGACAGATTATAGAGTTCACAAAAAAGACGGTACTAGCCGGAGAATGTTTTTCTAATGTGCTACTTTTTTATGGGCAGATGTGTTCCTAGTGAATGGCCACAATCAGTTATAGTTTGGAGTTCAAGTAAACACAATGAAGAGGTTATGAAAAAATTAGGCAGCTACACAATTGAACATATTGGAGAATTTGTTTTGATTAGAAGTCTAAAGATTGGTGGCGCAGTACAGCTATCAGAACAAAAAGGCAATGTACTCACTCTATGCTTTTAAAAGACCCCACATTTCCAGAAAATATTTTTCAACAGTACAAGTCCGCTGCAGCTAATTACTCGCAGAAGTTAAATAGCAACAGCTATTTTAGAAGCACATATTACCATCGCCCTCATGACCCAAAAAATGAGTATGTTAAGTGCTTGGGAGCAAATGTGTTTTGTAAAAACTAAAATTTTTTGTATCCACCATTAGATGGTTTCACAATTTCCTACATCATCAGCTGAATGGCTATATCAATCTTCGGGTATAACTGTAGAACCAGCTGGAGATGCATTTTTTTTATCAAAATGTCTAAACTACACTACTTATGCAATAAAATATGACCAAAAGATTGGCAATTATTGTTTTGAGCATTTTCCTATCACCTTACCAAGTTCAAATGTTAGTTATTTCCTAGAAGTTAGCAATAGAAAGTTGATGCAAACCAGTCTCCGAATACCCTGTAAACTCAGACCCAAACACACATATCTACAGGACCCAAAGCTGAATACAATATACAAAATAACGGCTTTTGGATGAGTCAAAATTGTGAAAACCCAGCTTGATCAGGTTCTAACCTCACAAAATAACCCGATTCCCCGCATTCGAGGTTATAGCAAAGATTTTCTTGTCAAGAAACCCCAAAGACTCACACCATATACAGCCTTACAATTAATATCTAGTTCTCATGAAACAATACAGACACTTAACACCATTAGTGACACTAATGGAGGTGATATCCTAACCGGTATTGGTAATGCTCTTGGAAGCGCTCTACAAGCAACAGTAAGTGGATTCCTTTTTTCCAAAAATTTATGGGTGGTATAAGTGGATCCATCCTGTGTGCAGCAGTTCTATTGATAGTAGTTTTACTTTTAAACAAACAAAATATAAATTATGCCCTATCATGTTTTAAACGATTTAGAAAAATAATGATTGATGATACCATAGCAATACCACAACAGGACCAGTCCACATCAATGTCCCCTAAAGTAAAAAGACACTCTTCACATAACTGTACATGCCCAACACGTAAAGATGATTTAAAAATGAAACATTTTGACGGTAATAGCAGAATTCTATGACCAAGATTACTGGATGGGAATTGAGATGCCCCAACCACCATGAGTTTCCTACGGAGAATTTATTTCCTGTAGTTTATTCCCTGATTTTCTATTTGTGACTGTTTTACACTTTTGATTTTTATTTTGCTGCTATCACGCTGTTAGCAACAATTATTTTTGATTTTTTGTGATCATAAATTTTATGATGCTGATTTATACAATGCTGTGATGAGTGTTATTAATGAGTTTTCTCAATTAAAATATTACCCATGATGATAATTTGCAATGTGGCAGTTTCTTTGTTACATGTTTAGTCCAAGGGCGGACTTTTTCTTGGTTCGTGAGCAATGTTACGAAGGTTGCTAACAAACCATTCAAGCGGAACGCTTAAGTTAATTGAACCGTATAAATGTTAGGCATAAATGCTAGAAAAAAAGATAAACTAAACATTTGTTTATGAACTAAAACACGTCTAGCGTCTGCGGAAAACATAAAAAGGTTGTTTAGTTAGAGTTGTAGATAGAGTTGTCGACGATCAGCCTAGAGAAAGTTATCCCAACCACTAAAAGTTGGACAATCCTGGTTGTTGGCGATTGATAATACTCATTTAGTTATACTGTGACAGTTATTTTGTAACAATTATATTTTATAATAATATAGCGCGAGTTTAGTTTAAAAATTTATATTAGCACAAGTTGCGACGGAGTGTTATACACCGAGCAACATTTGAATATGATTCAGTAATTGTTTATATATAAACAATTGTGTAACATATTACATAACAATTTATTTTAATAATACAAATATATAATTTTTTGAATCATATACTTATATAGAGTGCAAACTAAAAAAAAAAATTGTAAAAATGTACTGAGTGCAAACTGTATGAAAAAGGATGTCAAATTGATTGCAGCCAATTCAACATGCTTTTTCATACTGTGCCTTTGAAGCAGGATTGTATCAACTATTAAAAAAAATTAAAAATCTTAATTTTTATAGTAACCCCCTTGGCCATCATTTAACGTTTCAATTTCTTTGAAATAGTTTAACTTTCCAATCTTTTCAAAATAATTTGACATGCCAATCTTTTTGAACTTGGTGCAGTTAAAAAGTTGTACAAATTAAAAAAAAATTGGATTTTTTATTTTGTTCAATCTTTTCAACAAATAATTTCTGCTCTTGTTTTCTAATATTTAAAAGTTTTTTTTTTTTATTAGAATTGAAAATTTATTAGAAGTGATATTATTTTTTATTTATAAGTATTTTGATATTCAGGAGCCTGGATCGAATAGCAGTATTGATTTTTCGTGTTCTGTAGAAGATCTTCAGGTTTTTTATATTGAATATTTTTATTAATATTATTCTTATTTATTTTTTGTTAATATAATCCACTACGTTTTTTTTATATTTCTGCTTTTTTTTTTAATTCAATATAACTTTATAATAAATATATATATTTTTATATACTTAAATTTTAAATTTCTTGTTTACATGAGCATTTTTATTTTGTAGGATTTAGTTAGTAAACTTAAGGATGCAGTAAAAAGTGTAGAAAAAGCAAGTCAAATTTAATATCGAAAAAATAGATTTGAATACTTATTTAAAAAAAGTTAAAACTTAAATGAAGAAAAATGTCATAGCAAAGAACACAACAAATTGATTTCAACAAGGAAAACACCAAATTGATTTGGTGGAATTGAAGAAATAAGCATTTCTAATAAGAAAAACAGCGATTCTATTAAGAAATAACGTCTAGTCTTCTTCATTGTTTTATAATTGAAAAGTATTTTTTTATGTATAAAATCAAGTTAATATTAGTCTTTAAAAAATTTTTTCAATAAAATTTTTTATTCATGGTTTAAAGATTCTTGTATAAAGGGTTTAGGTTCGCTATGCTAGTTTATTACAGAACATAGCATAATTAAAGATTTTCTCATTCATATTTCTATCACATTACATTTTAAAAATATTTTTTACCAAAGTTTGATAATTGCCCTAGAGGTACCTAGGGGAAGAAAGAGTTATTTTTGGGGAAAAAAATAAAAAATAGTCACTAATAAATTTTTGATAATAAAAATTTTTTTTTTTTCTTTTTTTTTTGTAAAAATCATAAAGGTTTTTAATGCATATTTCATTTTACATTTGATAATGTATTGATATTTTATTTGACACTTAATTGTTTTTCTACATTTGATAATTTATTGATATTTTATTTGACACTTAATTGTTTTTCTACATTTAATAATTTATTGATATTTTATTTGACACTTAATTGTTTTTCTACATTTGATAATTTATTGAAATTTTATTTGACACTTAATTTATTATTTTTTATTATTTTTATTTTAATTGTTTATTCATTTCAATAGTTAAATATTTTACCATTTATTTTTAGTCTTTCAAATTATATATTGAATTTAATAATTTTTTAAATAAGTAATTTGAGAAAATGAATATAACCAACAAACACCTTGATAATATTGATGTTGATCATTTTCATCATTTGGGGTTTTCCACCAAAGATATCGCTTTAGAAAATTTTAAAGATGTAAAAGTGAGGCACCTATTGATACTTTTTAAATGATTTTTATTTTTTTAAACAAAAATATTTTACTATTGTTTTTCTGATAATGATACATTGCAATTTTAACAGATTGTCTGCGTGTGTGGTAGTCCTGAACGAGTAAAGAAGTTAGCTGGCTTTTTAAATGATGGGTTGAAATTAGTAAAAGCAGAAGAAATTCATAATTTATGCTCAACAGATCGCTATGTTATGTTCAAGTTAGGACCCATACTTCTAGCTAGCGTAAGTCTTGTGGCTCTACTAATATTACTGAAGAAACATAAAATTATGTGTTTTAATACATTTTTGTTTAAATTTAGCATGGAATCGGTGCACCATCAGCTAGTATTTTGTTTCATGAAATCTTTAAATTACTACATTACTCTGAAGCAAAAGAATTTGTTTTTTTTAGACTTGGAACATGTGGAGGGTTAGGTGAGCAATGGTATTATAGCAACAAATAGTTAAATGTCATAGAAATGAATAAATTTAGTCTAATTAATTTAATATAACATTTAATAGTTAATAATTTAAAATAACAATTAAAAATAATAGTGCTATTTTTATTTAGATTTATTTGTTTTTGTTTAGTCTTTATGAATAAGGATGAAATTTTTTTACAGGTGTGAAGCCAGGTACCATAGTACTCACAAAAAAAGCTTTAAATGGTTTTCTCCAACCTGTTTATACACAGGTTATAACTATTTAGTTTTGTTGATAATGCTTTTTTTTTAGATAATTCTTGTTAAAAGGTTCTTGTTGTCAGAGAGTTCTTGTTGTCAGAGGGTTCTTGTTGTCAGAGGGTTCTTGTTGTCAGAGAGTTCTTTTTGTCAGAGAGTTCTCGTTGTCAGAGAGTTCTTGTTGTCAGAGAGTTCTTGTTGTCAGAGAGTTCTTGTTGTCAGAGAGTTCTTGTTGTCAGAGGGTTCTTGTTGTCAGAGAGTTCTTGTTGTCAGAGAGTTCTTTTAGTTAAATGATTCTTATTGTTACAGTATTTTTTTGTTTAGTAATTCTTGTTGTCAGGAGATTGTTCTTGAATTCATATTATTAATCTTTTTAAGTAATTTTTTAGACAGTTCTTGGTAAAAAGTTTGACTATCCAACAATAATGGATAATACCATTATTGAAGAATTGCAACATTTAGTACAAGAAAATTCAAATTTTGATGTTATAAGCGGCGATACATTTTGTTGTGATGATTTTTATGAAGGTAAGCCTTATTACTGTTTCACTTTTATTTATGTTACATCTGTATTTGATTCATTCTAGGTTTTTCCATAAAAACTAGCCAAAACTCAAGTCTTGACAAGGTTTTTATAGTGTGTTTTGGTTTTTACTAAAATAAACAAAATAGTTAATTAAAAAAAAAGTTATAATATTACATTGTATTATTATAATGTTTATAATGATATGTTATACTATTAGCATAACTTTTTTTAATTATTCACCTCCCCAAAGCTGAGAAGGCCACTACAGTTTAGGAGGCTCTAACTCTGAAACACGAATCTCGACAAATAAGACTGCTGCGCGGAGAAACAAGTTAAGCGTGGTACTACCAGGGATGTGGTGGGGATCAATCTTGGAACTTCTCGCTCATGAGGCGAGCGCTCTACCACTACACCACTACTGTATAGAAGTTGATCCTAGCGCAGATCTTTGAATAACGCCACTAGACACTAAAAGGTTGGGTCTGTCTCTTTCTCTTTCTACAAATACTACCATAGTCGCTGCTATATATATATATATGTATATATTGCTATTATAGCAATATATACATATATATATATATATATATATATATATGTATATATTGCTATAATAGCAATATATACATATATATATATATATATATATATATATATATATATATATATATATATATATATATATATATATATATATATATATATAAATTTTTATAAAGTTTCGCTTCTTTTGAGACCCAACATGACATACATTTGAAAAACTTTTTTTTCTTCTGTTTAGGGTCTTGTTGCAAGTTTCAGATTTGAGGTGGCCCCCCCCTAAATCTCATTCAATTTTGAAAAAATTTAACAGAGTGTCTTGTGAGTACCAATAGAAAGTTTTAAGAATATGGACAGATCAATTTTTGAAAGTATGGGGCGTTTGATGCACCCTAATATATATATATATATATATATATATATATATATATATATATATATATATATATATATATATATATATATATATATATTAGGGTGGGTCATAAAATTTTTTTTTAAAGTTGCTAACCTGGTTATGGTCTAGAAAGTTGTTTTTTTATGTACTAATTTAGGAAAGTATTTACTTTTATGGATTAAACAATGTCTTCCACCCGCAACTTTAATTACAAAAATTAGCAGGCCCTATTATTATTCAAAAAAAAAGTTTTTCAAAATTATGTGATGTAGGTACTCAAATAAAGTACCTACATCACATAATTTTATTGCATAATAACTATGGTTTTTTAAAAGTGATAAAAGTGCATTTTTTTTTATTTATGGTTTTATTTTATTTATGGTTTTTTAAAAGTGAAAAAAGTGCATTTTTTCTATGTTTTTTTAATGACAATTTTTTTTTGCAAATATGATTTTTATAAAACGATTATTATTATCGAATTTTTTATAAAATTTCGCTTCTTTTGACTACCAGGTTGACCTAATTTAGAAAAACTTTTTTTCTCAAAAATATTAGGGTACCGGTAATTTTCTCAATAAAGTTGCGCCCTTTAAATCTATCACAATCATTCTCATATTTGATAGTATCACTATTAATAATTGATCGCACTGTTTAGAGCCTGTAACAAGAAAAAAAAATTTTATGACCCCCCCCCCCTAATATATATATATATATATATATATATATATATATATATATATATATATATATATATATATATATATATATATATATATATATATATACATATATATACATATATATATATATATATATATATATATATATATATATATATATATATATATATATATATATATATATATATATATATATATATATATTCTTTCATTCTACAAAAAAATGTTGATGCAAACATATCTTTCTGAAGAACTCTTATTAAACAAATCATTATGTAGAAGCAATTAAAAAAATCAACAAACACATATATATTATTAAATTTTTTGTAATACAAAGTAAAAATAATTTATGTTTACTACGAAATATTTTTGTACAAGTAAATTCTTAATAATTTTTATTTGACAAATAATGGAAGAAAAGTAGATTAATGTTCCTTTCTTAAAATCTTAAAAACTTAAAAGTTTTCATATTGTTATAGAAGCTGTAAATTCAATTGTCGTTTTTTATTGTCATGTGTGATAATCATTGATTTCATAGATTTCATTGTGTGAGAATGTTTGCATAGTTTGTGATCATCTTTGTGATCCCTCTCTCTGCTGTTTTATTTGTGCACAGAAGGTTTTAAACAAAAATATTGACTTTCTTAAAGCACAGGTTTTTTCCCTATTGATCTAATGATAGTGAGAGTCATGTTAAATCATTTCTAAAAGCTTGAAAAGAGCACAAGTACCGTTTTTTGTTTACATTAACATTTTTTGAAGTCTAGACATGGCAGGCTATCCATATTGGAATTTGGATAGCCTGCCATGGAATATGGCAGGCTATCCAAGGATTGAAGGATGCTTGGTCAGTTTTCAAAATCTTTTGAGCATTGGCAGATTTTGTCTTTAATGGTGTTTGGGAATAGAAAACTTTCTAGAGAAAGTCTTTACTTTACTGGAGAAAGCCTTTCTCCAATAAAGTACCAGGTATGCCTTACAATATCAGTCAAAGCTCTTCTACCTCCAGGTAAAAATGAGAAAGAGATCATATTAATAAAAATGGAGATTCATTCAGAAAATATAAACGATCAAACATGACAGGAAGTGAAAACAAGAAAAACTTGACTTAAAATAACTTTAGTAAGAAAAAAAAGGTAGAAGATAATGAATTTATTTTTAAAAAGATAATGAACTTATTTTTAAAATCTCATTTTACAGATTACTATATTTAATTTACTATAAAATTATTTATGATTTATTTATAATACTTCATGTTACGACTACCAAACCTACGGCTAATAAAAATTCTGGCTACGAAACCGTTTAATAGTATTTTATACATTCTCATATAAACTTGAAGGAAAAAAGATAAGAAAAAAAAGTTAAATAAAAAAAAATAAAAACAAGTTAAATAAATTTTTTTAAATAAAAAAATAACGTTGAGAACTATGTAATTACTTAGTGACAATTTTTAATAAGAAAACTTCGAAACTCGTTTTTGTAAGTAATATTTTTTTAAGCTCAAGCAAGATTGGATGGTGCTTTTTGTACGTATTCGAAACAAGATAAGGAAGATTTTTTAACTATGCTGCAATCAAATGGCGTAAAAAATATAGAGATGGAGTCTTCAGTAGTTGCAGCCATGTGCAATCGAGCGAATATTCGTGCTTGTACTATGTGTGTAGTCTTGGTTGATAGGTTGGCTGAAGATCAAGTTATTTTAACTAATGAGATGCGAAAGGAGATTGAGAAGAAACCCTGGTATTTACTTTTAGAGTATATAAAAAGAAAGATTGCTCCAGTGCGTCCTGATAATTGAATGACTAAATGGTTCTCGGTGTTTAGTTGTGTTTTTTTAATTTTATGAATTGGATTTTTTATAGTTTTTTAACGGTGTATTCTTGTTATTATTTATTTTTATTAATTATTTTAAATATTGTGACTATAATAAATATAGTAACCAAATAATTACTAAATAGTAAATACAAGGACCAACCGGTTACTTTATATTCACTATACCAACCGGTTACTTTATATTCACAACCAGTATTCTTAAACAGTTACTGTTTAGTAAATGTTCAAGAATATATACTGTTTAGAATATATACTGTTTAGAATATATACTGGATTTTTACTACATCCATTTACTACTTTTTTAATCTGATGCTATTTAAAAAGACTTTTGGAAATAAAATTTGCTAATATTTACATTTGCGAATAATAGTTTTTTAATCATATACAAATTTTATAAACTCTCGTTCTTGGTGGAAATGTCTTTTTCCTTCTATCTATTGTTTAACGTCCTACTCATTTTACTAAAACTTCAATTGTTAAAGAAATAAAGATAATCCTCAAACTGCAAAGCAAAATTTATTTTTAAAATTTTTTTAAAATTCTATTTCATATTATTTATAAAGAATATTTAAACGAATTTTTATTTCCGTTATGTATTGTCTCCACAATGTATTATAAAGAATTTATATCTCCACGATGTATTGTAGTGATTAGCTATTTTTGCCGCAAATTTTCAATTTTTGTTGGTATTTTAAGGATATTCTAATAAATTTTGATTGTTGAAGTCTTTTTTTTAAATAAAAATTTAAATTGTTTTATCAGGTATATGAACTTAATATTATTAAATATGCTTGATGTCAGTTACTGTCATTTGGTTTAAGATTTGCAAGATAATAGCAAAAAGGCTCTTTAAGACAGACTTTCCCCTTATTAAAACCATTGCAAACCAATTTTCCTAAAAGCAATTTTTTAAATGAAAAAGATTCTTAACTATTTTATAAGTTTGAATATTATGTGAGACAAATGTTTGACTTTCCGAGTGATGTGAGACAGATGTTTGTTGTTTTCCAAGCTACATTTGTTTTTTCAGAGCTACATTCCTTTAGTTTATAAACTTTATTAAAATCACAAGAATTTTTTTAAAGAAGATTATTTTGTGTTTAACTAATGACAAAATCAAAAGTGAGTTACCATCACTGACAACAAGTATTAACAATTCGAATGGTTTTAAAAATATAACTAATGACAAAATCAAGGTTTGTTAATCATTATCTAAATAAAGGTCTTCCCTGCCAAATTTTTTAAGTAAAATTTTTACAGGATCTTTCAAATCGGTTAATAAATTTGAATTGGAAGTTGCTCTTGTAAATTGTCAATGCCTTTCACTTCAGTGAGAAATCAGAGATTATTGTAGAATTTTATATTTTCACGATGTGATTCCTCTAAAAGTAAAGCTGGGTTGAAGTTCAAACATATTACTATTCTTCTGCATTTTTCTCTATTAATTCAATTTTGCTATAATTACTTATGCTATCACATATCATTATTATATGCAGGATATGAATCAGATCTAGATATGGTCCATGTTGTGGATCTTTTTAGCCACAACATGGACCATAGTGAACAAGTGTCCAGAAGTTTTCATGCTGCACCATACATCTACCTCTTATCCCTGCAATGTCTTTGATAAAATTCTTGAATAATGTCTTTGATGAAACTATGACAATTTTCATCTGATTTTCTAAAGGAAAGCATGCAAGAGTAAAAGTTTTTATATCCCAGTTATCATTAATAATGGAACACTTTAGCCCCATTTAAATAACTTTTTTGTACTTGTCAGTCCAACCGTAAAATTAAGTTGTTGCCGCATCAATATCCTTTAAACTACCAAATATAGATTGCCTAAAAGGTTTGTAAATATCAGGTAGAGGAACTTGATTTATAGAAGAGGTTGTGAGATGTTTTAACCCGACACTTTATTTGTGGCTTCATGCTATTAAAGAATCTGTAGTTTTATTTTCAAATTAGCTGCACAGTTGAATGTTCAAGTATTTTAGAGAACTACCACTTTCTTTTATATCCATAGCTAAGTAATAAAAAACTTTTTAACCAGTGAACATTGTATAGCGGAATTTCATTGGACTTATAAAGCCATTTTTAGCGGTACCACTGTAGTTTTGCTCATCACTTACTTAGCGGACCATTAGTGGCTAGCCGATAACTAACCACTATTGGCATGTAGGAAAGTTATTGGCTGGCCATTTATAGCGGCTGTCACTATGTAACCGATGAGTAAAACTCCATGAACCGCCTAAAAATGACCTAAATAGGTCCACTACAAATCCACTAAAACAATGTTTGCTGGGTATGCTTAAATCAGTTAATTTAAGTTAAAAATTGACAAAAAAAGAAAGATAAAATAAAATTTATAAGGTATTCTAAAGAACGCAAAATAACTCGGACGATGTTTGATATTTTATAAGGTGGAAAGCCTAACAACTATTTCTTTACCTCTCTGCGAGAATTTATTAAGCAAATTTAAGGAGTTGTTGCAACATAAGATAAAGCTACAGAAAAGTTGTTGTTGCTGTTAAGTTAGACAAGAGAATTTTGGTTTACCAAACTCTCTATTTTTTTCAGCCAACAAAATCAAGTTTTAAATTGGCTGTGGCCAATTACGTTGTTTGATTGGCGACTAAGTACAGTCCGTTAAAAAAAGTAACGGGTTGCGCTTTTTTTGTCAAATTAACGGATTAACTCGTTACCAAAAACCAGAAAATTAAGGGAGTAAAATTAACTATAAATAGTTAATTGTAAATATAAGAATTTTTTTTTTTTTTTTAATTTTTTATTTTATTTTTTTTTATTTATTTATTTCGTCAGTAAAAAAAAAGAATACAATGTCGTGTAAAATAAATAAGATCAACATGACCGGGGTTAAAAGAAGACAATACTTGCCTTATCACTACACCCCGACGTGCTTTCATAAGCAAGCGTGTACAACCATTAAAAGTTAAATATACAATTACTTTGTAATTACGAATCGAATAAACGTATGTATGTAAATATGTAATAATGTATGTAAATATGTAAATAAACGAATAACTAATATGCAAAATAAACAAAATATGTAAATAAACGAATTGTATCTGTCCAGATACAATTCGTTGTATATAACGGATTTTTTCTCAGAGTGTAGTTGCTAATAACGCAAAGTTGCGGCTGTAAAAATTAGGTTCAAGTAGCTGCGACTTCTCGCTAATGGCGACTTCTCGTTTGTAAACTACCGCTGTTACTGTTCCAGTGGTCAGAAAATAACAAAAATCGTTTTAGTATTTTTTTTTAATTAAAAACAAAAATGGTAAAGAATACAGAGACGGTTCCCTCGATATTTTGAAGTGTATACCGTAAAAACCCCTAATTCCGGATGTAACCTAATTCCGGATGGTTTTAGTAAAAAGTTTCAAAACTCCCTTAATATAATGAATTTATGAATAATTTTTTTAATTAATAAACGTCTTTACCAGACAAATCAAAAAATATAAAAAAAAAATTATATAAACTAATGCAATCATGAAAGATTTCAATTTGAAATCTCTCATAACTAAAAAAACAAAAAAAAGGAAAAAAAAAACTTTGACTTGCAACAAAAAAATTAAAAAAGTAAAAACACTATTTTGTGCAGAATTTTATGCTGATTATTTTAGCCAAAAAAAAAATTAAATTGCCTTTTGAAAAAAGGCAATTTAATTTTTTTGCCAGCAGCAATAAACAAATACACTTTTGAGTCCCGGATACAGTTAATTACAATTAGCTTTTTTCTTTTTTATCACTTTCATGCACATAATATAATATATTATGTTCATTAAGGTTGGTAGTATGGTCAAAAATTTCCAATTTTTTGATTTTTTTTAATATAACTTCTTAACATTTTCATTCATGCTAAAAACAATAGTGTTATTTATTTTTTGATGTATTCTATATAAAACCGTCTATTTTTTATATAAAAAGTAGTACTATTAGTATATAGCAACGGCATAGCAACAAGGTAAACACCATGTATATCATCTTATTGAACTCCCTGAAGCAAGTATTTTCTTTGAAGTGAATTTGGCTTCTTTTTTCGCCGTAAAAACATTAAACAAGCATTTATATAAGCAGTTATCTTGTTGACTATCATTACATAAACACATGTTAACTATTTCAGTTACTAATGGTGAATATATCTAGAGTATGATTGTTTATTGTTGTTTTATAAACTATTCAGTGTAGATTAAAATAAATTTATTATTTCTAATCAATTAATATGAAAACTGAAGTTTTAAGAAGAAGAAAAACTGGTGCCTCAAGAGTGTTTAAAAAAAAGAAAAAGCACTTCAAAAAATCAAGTTTGGCAATTTTTTTCCCAAAATAAAGATACTTCTGCGAGCCAAGAATTGTCATTAATTGATAGAAATACTAAAAATTTAACATTTTACTTAACTTTACAACATCAACCAGCAATGTTATTGCCAATAATGAACCTAAAGTAAACTATTTCAAAGTAAGAAGAAAGGAGTCTAAATATGTTGTGGAAAATCTGTTAATAAACTAATAAAAGCTATTGAAGCTGTATTATTTAACTACTCTGAGCCATTATCTTCTGATGTAAGACATGCTATGTGTCCTCAAACTAATTGCAAATATAAAGGATATAAAATTGATAAAACATATGTTAATAAAGAAAAACCTGGACTACCTATTGTTATCAGGGACATAACCAGTATTCATAGATTATCAGATAAAAGCTTGTTAAAAAAGTGCCGTCATGGAAAAACTCGAAACAATAATGAAGCCTTAAATGCAATAAATTGGAATCGAAGTCCAAAAAAGTGTGGGGCAAATTGCTTTAGAGAAAGGTGCAACATCAGCTGTTATTAAATTCAATGAAGGATTAACTGGTTTGTTAAATGTTTATTTAGAGCTTGGTATAAGTCCTAACAAAAACTGTATTACATTTTGCAAACAAAGAGATTGTCAAATAGTTAAAAATATTGCTAAAAAAAATTGGCTGATGAGGTAAAGCAATGTCAGAAACAAACAAGGGCAAAATAAAAAGATTTTAGTGATCAATATGAAGAAAGTGAAGAATTAGCTTAAAGCTCTGGCAGTTTTTAGTGGTTTTGTTATATTTCAATTGATATAACTACTTATTTTAAAAATTTAAATTTGATTATCATAATTTTTTTTTTTTTAGTTCGAAGTTTTTATATTTCTTTTAACAAGGATACTAACTTCTTTATTGTACTTAAAAAATTAGTTAAAACTCATTATAAACTTAGTTTATTAATATTGTTGTTAGTTAATACATTGAAGAGTGATAAGAAATCTTTAAGATTAGAATGAGAGCTTATTTTATATTTTAATTTGTTTTTTTCGATGTTAATTTTTTTAAATTGCTGTTTTCTCAGAACAACATTTTTTAGCACGGTGCGATAACCTGGGAACTACTTGTTATGGTTCTTTAAAATTTTGTTCAGTTGTAATAATATATATGATAAACTCATTGAAGCAGTATATTTTTTTGATATTATATTTTGACAGAGTTATAAACTTTTAAAGGGGGCTGTTTGGGGGTAAAATTTGACCCGTTAGTTGTATATGCTGTATCTCCTTGGTGCTTTAATCTTACTTTATAGTTCTGCTTCCATGAGTTCTTTAATATAATACAAGTAAACACTGAAAGTTTGAGTTTTATAGCATCTACCATTGTCTCAATATTTATCGCAGCACCTAT